GGGAATTTTGTGCGAACATGTGTGACGCTGCTTCTTTTTTTGCGTCGGCTGCCTTTTGAAAYTGTTCTCGCTGATTTTAATTTTGCATCTTCCAAATTTCTATATTCTTGCTCTAATTTAATGCTTACACAATTATTAATTCAGTTTCTCAAATTCTGGAAAAATAAACAGGAAAAGTTATAGAAGCTCCCCGTCGTGAAACCTTTATATTCATATCTCCCCAAAATGGACTTCCTATATTTAAGGTCCCCCAATAACTTTTYTGTAATTCTTGCTCCCTAGTCTGAGGCCGGTAAGGCTTCAGACCGGGGCTGAGGCCGCAACAGCTTGATAACCAAGGTTCAAGTTTCCGTTCCGGTAGTCACTTCGAATTTCCAGCCGCCAGCCAACCCAGTTGTACGTGGGCGRTATTCGGGTTCGATACATTCGATTGGCCTAGCATACTCGCATCCGCACTTCCTTCACCTCACCTGGGCCCGATTCAAGAAAGAGACATCCAAGAAAGTGCATCCAAGAAAGTGCAAGTGTGTCGCAGATCCGAAAATGACTTGCTGCCATTTTTTTATAGCGGGCGTTACCGGCCCAGTACGGGGCCGGAGTTACTTGGGCCTTCACCTCACCTGGGCCCGATTCGAGAAAGATACATCCAAGAAAGTGCATCTAAGAAAGTGAAAGTGTGCCGCAGGTCCGAAAACGACTTCCCGCCATTTTTACATTGCGGGCGTTACCGGCCTAGTACGGTCGGAGGTACTTGGGCCTTCACCTCACCTGGGCCTGATTCGAGAAAGATACATCCAAGAAAGCGCAAGTGTGCCGTAGGCCGAACGGAAACTTGAAAAAGAGCCAAGCTTATCAGCTTTTGCGGCCTCAGGCCCGGTGTGAGGCCCTACCGGGGAGCAAGAATTACAAAAAAGTTAATGGGGGACCTCAAATGCAGCAAATCCATTTTGGGGAGATATGGATACAAAGGTCTTGCGGCGGGGAACTTCTATAACCTTTCCCAAAATAAACTCCTAATTTTTATCTTCTATTTTTTGTTTAGTTAAATTATCATGTACATACACAAACATACACACAAACATTACATGTACATACACACACATACACACAAACATGCATACATACAACAACATATGCTCTTGGTCACTAAGCATTTGAAACTTTACGGAATCCCTATCGGGTTATCATCCATTCTGAATTTCTAGCTCAATTCCTATGGATTTGTACTATAATTACGTATCCTTGAATTTCAACTACAATTTATAAAAAACCTAAGTGAGGTTCAATCATGATTTTCTAATTTTGAAACCGAAAACTTTGGAATTCTACTATTATAGCAATAAATTTTAAAAGACCCTCTCCGATAATCAATTTTTGCTTCTTTAAATTGGGGATAGGTGCAAGTGGTGGGAGCTGCCAAAGGTTGATTGGCCCAAGGGGCAGGGCAATATTTCTGATAGCCTTACTACCGCCATGCGCTTTCTTCAGCGGGTTAATCTTAAAGATGCAGGGTATTTTCTTTTTCGTTATTGCATAAGTTTAAAGAGGCCCTGCTTTTTCGGATTTGCATGAAGTGGTTCAACATTTTAATATACTCGACTGGATCAGATCGCTTTTGGAGGGTTGAACGGTAAGGAGAGGGAGGGGGGAGCTCTATCTTGCAGGGACATCATAAGGTGGGGGGTGAATGTCTCAAGCTTAAGAGGGTAGGGGCGGAGTAAAGGTTTCCCTATTTTGGGGCAAGGGTTGATGTGTCGGTCAAAATCATTTCCGAGCGAGGCACAAATGGGCAAGGATCAGGGGAGCATGCTTTAGGTGGGAATTGCATGCCCCTGAGGAAAAGGGGCCGAGGGGTGGTCATATATTGGGGCTGAGGGAGAGCGAGAGGCTTGCCTCCGCGGAGGTAGTGTAGGGCTGAAGGGGGAGGGTTAGGGGGAAGGAGGGGTGATCTTTCTCAAAGAATCCTAACATCCAGTTTAGTTTTTCTATTTGGTTTGCTTCTCGAGAAGTTTGTAGGATTAGGACCTCGTGCTATCTGGCAAGTCATCTATGATCCTTTGTAGGGTGGTCGAAAATTTGGTGGCCCTCGAATACCGATGTTGGAGCAACGCTGGACGAAGTCGGAGCCAGGTGGAGCAACTATGTGACCTAGCTTAGTGGGGGCGTAAGGCCTCGTAGAGACATCTGGGGGGCTGTTTGCGGTGACAATCTCAATGTTGACCGGTGCTGGAGCAAGGTGGTGCAACTCTGTAACTTAGC